TAAAGCAAACCATGTTAACATTTTTACAACAATAAAACAAATAAAATTCTCTTTCTTGGTTTTTTAGTCTAATTTTGTTTTACTGTGAATCTTTATTAAAACATCCTAATAAATAATCAGAACCTTTGCCCAATAGAAGCACATGTGTTTGCAAAAGATTGATGGAAATTTCTATTACCTGCATGATTCAAATATAAGATATACCATATGAGAAGAATGTTTAAATGATTACTTAGTCTGTGAAAATGGCTTGAATCCTGCTACTTCATAGCTGTTCAATTTATTTTAAGTCTCTGTACATTATTAACAAATGATTACTTATTAGCCAGGAAGAGAAAGTAGATATTGATAACATCTGTTTCTTTTTCAAATCTCACTTTAAAGATATAAATGTTTATACTAATTTCATAACTTTTCTACATTATACTGGAATACTATAGGCTTTATTTATAAATCATATAAATCCTGATTACAGGTACAGATGTGATTGTGGAAGGAGAGATTCTAAAGCTTGGTGGTCCATTCTTGAATTCCTGGCAAAAGAGGCACTTACGACTCTATCCAAATCGCTTAGAGTTCTATCAGAAAAACCGTGATGGTGGAATCCAGAAGAACAAGGTGGAGGTATGTATCTTGGAAATTATTTTTAACCTGCTCCTGCAGGTACCTCATAGTTGGTATTCATCCATTCCGTCTTTGACTGATGACAACAACAACATTAGCAGCAGCAGTAGCAACTCTTGAAATATTCATCATCTTGGCCAAATTATCATTTTTTTTTTTTATTCCAGTCAAGAAAATTCTTTCTCTAAGAATAATTAACAATTAAAGACACCACCTGAAAGTTAATCTTGAACAGTGAACAAGCACAACCTTTTGCTCCAGAATTTGTTGGAATGTTGCTGATAATGTTTTTGATATGCATCATGTCAGTATACATTTTCATTGAGGATTTTAGTGACTATTCCCATATATATCAATGTTTATAATAGCCCACTTGTATCAAAGTTTCTGCAACTTATGAGTCATTTTCATATATTATTCCTACTTTAATTCAAATTAATCATACTCTCTGCTAAAATAGTTTCAGCAATTAATATGATTCCTACTGTTGCAGTGGTTTTCAGAGTTCCATGTTTCTTTTCTCCCATTGGGTTTCAAGATTTCCTTAATTCCTCCTCTGTTCTGGATTGTCATCTTGTAATTTTTTTCACCATTAAACACGACTGAAATTCTTCACCTGTCTAAAATCTTTCCTTGAATCAAGAGCCTTTTGGTCGATAATCACTTTACTGCAACTACAATAAATTGCCATCACTTTTATTGCAAGCAGTAATCTGTTGTAAAATTATAGCTGTCACTTTTTAAAACCTTAATGCATTATTATTATCACTAACATTTCCAAATATTGATATCTTAATTGTAATCAATTTTGGTGATTTTTGTATTACATAGAAAAATTCTCGTGCATAAGAATAAAAATATCAAAATTATATGAATTGGCATTCAAAGAAATTCCAGATTCATATTTTTATGATTCTTTAGTTAGTTCTTTCTCCAAGATAATGACATTAAATCTAAACAGAATAGATTTTCTAATGATATGATAAATGAATTTGTGATTATAAATTCAATTCTGATCATTTATTTATGATAAAAACTGGTCATACTTGAATTTCTTGCTCTTACACCTCTTTCTAATTTCGGCATATCTTTCTCTAATTCCATTCCAAACAATATCACATAATAATTGAAATTTTCAAATAATCAATTCATCCATTAATTATAGAAGTTTAGAATATTCAGTACGTATTGTATTTCCTGATTTGTTTGATTTTTAAATTTCAGTCTGTATTAGTCAATTGCCAGAAAACTTTATTTTCTGAAGTTGAGTGTGCTTTTCTCAGAAATATTCCCAAATAGTGCTATATTTGTCTTGTATAAAATATTCAGAGTTTATGTTAAAAGAACAATCTTAATATTTTTTTCTCTCTCTCTCTCTCTTTTCAGCTCATCACAATGTATGATATAAAAGAAGTGTGCCATGATTTCCAGAAATTGAACAAAGCAGATAATTGTATTGTGATGATTTTGAAGAATGAAACGAAACTGGTGATAACCTCACAGGTTTGTGCCTTTCACTATCCCCCTTTGGGATTCGAACTTCACAGGTTCAGGCTTTTAGTTTTCTATATGACTTTTCATGATCAAAAAATTTCTCATCACATAGTCTGGTAAGAAAAGAGAAAACAAAGTCTTGAAAAAAAAATTGTCCTCTCTCTGATGTTCTTTGTCCAAAAAAAAAAAAATCAGAATCAAGATTGAGTCTACTTAATAGGTCTTGAAATATGTTAATTTTTGTGTTTGCCTACCAATACATTTCTTACCCAAGTAAAAGAACACTACTTTAGACAACAGGAGTATTCTCTCTTCTTTGTGAGTGTAAAAGGAAGTCATATGTTGTGGTTTTTTACCCCATAGTTGTGCATTGCAAGTTGTGGATACATCTTTTTACATCTTGTGATTTATGCCCGGGTAGTTTTAACTTTGATCTTGCAAGACTGATTCATAACCTGTGGAATTATGATCCAAGCATGAACTGTGTACAATAGGATGATGCCATGCAGGGAAAATAGTTTGTTGATAGACATAAGTTTGCCGTATAGGCTGAAGTGAGTTCTCTTGAATTGGAGTGTCAATCAAGCTTAATGGGTGTGTATCCTAGAGCAGGGTTTCCCAACTTTCTTTTTGTCATTGCCCACTTTCACATGGAAAATTTTCCACTGCCCACCAATATAATAAATATTCAAAAGTATACCAAAATTGTTTAGTAAAAGTTTCTTACTGGTTCGTAAATTGACTTTATGATGTAGTAAAAAGTTCAAAGGCAGTTAACAAATAATGCTGACTTATGAAGCAACTGCTATTGTTATCATATTAAAGAACAAATGAAAACAGACTTGACCATTGAAAACTATACATATTATTTAATTTTATGGTTAAAATTAGTTTTACATTTAGGGTTAGCATTGCAAGTATTCATAATTTAAATACTACACACTCCTAGCAACTAATAAGAATTCAGTAAATTTTTTGTTGTTCTTCTTCTTGCTATTTATCTGATTTATATAAAAAAAAATGTTATTTCGTTTGAAGAACTATTTGAATGTTAATGACACTTTTTAAGATTGTATGAAATACTAGAATATTCATTGTTTCTGGTGATATTTCCATCTTATCCAAGAAACAGTTATTCCCATTTAGCCTGTTGTTTTTTGATTTTTTTTAATATCTCTCTCTCTCTCTCTCTCTCTATCTATATATATATATATATATATATATATATATATACACAGGTATTTTGCATATTTTATATACAGGTTCTTTGAATTTTTTTTTGTGGTGGAGGTAGAAAATGTTGAAATATCATTTTAATACTCAAAATCTTATATTGCCCACCAAAATTTCCAATCATTCATCATTTTCTGTTCAGTTGCTAATCACCCACCCAACAGTTGAAGTTACCAACTGGTAGGTGATATTGCCCAGATTGGGAAACTCTGCCTAGAATATGCATGCTGGTTGCATCCAGAAAAACAACACTCAAACTACCAAAGACATAAATCAAAAGGGGTTCATATTTATAGTTGAAAAAAAATTAAATAAAATCTTTTTCTACGTACAGATAAAACAAACAAAAATACCTGTTGGTCACTTAAGTTTTATTTTTAAAGATAATTCTAAGTTTTGTAAGTAAATACTTTAAAAATGTCAGTCTGGAGTGATAATTGCATTAGTAGAGAGAGAGAAGAGAAAAAGTATAGGTAACAATAGTTTTGACCTTTTGTTTTTTTTAGATATATCTTTACAACTATTAGAATTAATACCACTTGAGAAGTAAATAGGTAAATGTTACAGTTCTCTTGCTCATTTCATACTTTAAGATCTTTTTTGTCCTTTTTAATTTCATCTTTGTTTTATATTTGTTATTGATATATACTTAACTTTGTGCCACAGATAGTAGAAATAGTAAAAAAAAAAATGATGCCAAACCTCCAAGTCAAAGATGGTCAGCTGATCTAGAAAATCAACATTTACCTGAATTCTAACTTACTTTTAGCAAAACACAACTTAATCATAAAGAATGCTTTATATTTGCTATTTTCTTGTTTTTGATCTGTTCTTTATAACATTAAATATTCAGAAATTTCCTGGTAATGATTTAGAGCAATGGTTCTCAACCTTTTTAAGCAATGGCACACATAGGAGCATATGAAAACATCATGGCAAACTTAGTACAATTTTTAAAAGGTATACATTTAAATGTTACGAAATAAAACCAAAACTTTTGAATTAAACAAAGAAATACAATTCTGTGAAAAAAGGTTACTATTCATTTATTCAAATACAACTTCCTATCTTTCTTTAAAACCACTCCAAATCAATTTTGATCAAAACTTTTTATTCCCTGTTTCTTCTTTTTTAATATTTCAAGTCTTTTTAGGACACAATGTTCATAGCTTTCCATAGCTTCCACTATTTTATTTCTCTAATATTTAAAATTTTTCCATACTTCTTTGTCCCTGTTTTGCCATTCATTCACAAAAACTTGTTAGTTTTCCTCCTATTTCTCTTGCTTTCAATATACCCTTGTGAGTGTTAAATTCTTCAAACCCTCTTTCCTTGTCATTAGTCCTAGACATTTCAGTTGTTTCTTTCTGAAGGTTGAGAATCACAGATTTAGAGCCTACCAGAAGAGACTAAAATTAGGATTGCCAGTACAGTTGTATATACTGGCATTTTGTGAATATTAATTACTGATAACAACATTTTTGTTTTCTCTTTTTCTGCAGGACAAAGTATTGATAAACCAGTGGAAGGAAGAAATCTTAGGTGGATTCCGTGCTTCAACGAAGATGCAGTCAAAAATGAACAAAAAGGCCAGCAAGTTATATGGAGCAGATGTCCCCATTGAACACAGGAATAGCAATGGCAGTTAGGAAACTATTTACTTTAGCAGCAGCAGCAGCACTAGAGACTTCTAGGTTGGAATAATGTTGCATTTCCAAAGAGAAGGGCTCTGGCACAAGTGTATTAACAAAACTCACCCAACCCTTCTTCCTTTTCCCCATCACACTTGACAGAAAAGACAAAAAACGTTTAGGAACAATTTAGAAAATTAAAAAAATATTAGAAAAAAAGAACAAACGAAAAGAAAATAACCAATGATAAAACTGATGTGGCTGATGCCAATGATGATGATGAGGAAGATTCTGGCTTGGCACTTACACCATTTAATGTCCGTATATTCATGGCCTTTTTTTTTTTGTTTTGTTTTTTGATGGTATTTTTTTGGTTTCATTTTTAATCCAAAAATCTTACACCGTAGAAAACTTTTTTCTTGCTTAAAAAGAAAAAAAAAAGAAAAAAACAAACAAAATGAAAAAAAAAAATATCAAAAAAACAAACATAAAAACAAAACAACTACAAAAAAAAATGTTCCCGTCTCAAATGAAAATGTAAAAAAAAAAAAAAAATTTGGAAAAAAAAAAAAACACAAAACTGAAACGCCAAAAATATTGTTTTAAACTGTCTTTCGTTCCAAAATATTGCACAGTAGGTGTCATATTTCTTTCCTTCCTTTTTTAACAAAATTTTAACTTGGGAAAAAAACAAATGTAAGGAAAGAAAAAAAATGTAAACAGCAAAAAAAAAAAAAAAAAATGGTGCGTCATATTCTTTCTATGATCGAGTGTTCAACTTAACAAAGATAATTTCTGATTGCCTCCCCCACACTTTGAGTTTGGATCACGTGGCAGGTTTTATCCATGTCCCAGCTTGATTTTATATGCTCACCTATCGGCCAACCAAACAACTGCCCCACCCCTTAAATTGTTCTCCCTTTCTCCAACTCATCCCACCCCTGTCGTCCCTGATTTTCCCACCCCAAATGGTGCACTTAGTATTGTTCATTTTTCCTGAACCATCTCAAGAACTGAGGGGAGGAAAAGAAGAAAACAAATTTTAGAAATAAGAGAAAAATTTCTTTTATACTTTTAAATTGCAAAGAATTTTAGGTTGCACTCTGCAGAAAAAAAAAAAACACATACACACGAAACAAAAACAAAAAAAAGATGATACTCATGCTACCAAACCCCAAATGATAGACTAAATGAAGTATGCAATCGGTATACATTTATATGTAATCTGTACATATAAATATCTTAATAGCTCATTGAAAGTTTATCATTATAGGTCGATATCTGTCTTTTTCATTTTATCTTAATTTATTTTATATTATTTATTGTTCTTTGATAAAATAAAAATGAATAAAGTGAAGAAGGGGAAAAATATATTTTCCTAGTTTGGGGAAAAAAAAAAGAAAAAAAAAAAGAAGAAATCAAAACCTTTAAAAAAAAAACAAAAAAAACATGGATTCATGGATTAAAGACAAAAACACCCACCCCCAAATTTTTAAATCATAAAAGAAACCGAAAATAAATGAATAAATAAATAAAATGTATGTATGCATAATTGTGTCTGCGTGTGTGTATGTGCAATTGATTACTGAAATGCAAAGATCACTCTTAAGTAAATCTTAGTGTGTATATGTATGTATGTGTGTGTGTGTGTGTGTGTATATATATATATATATATATATATATACACACACACACACACATATATAATTTGCAAGTAAGTATCTTTTAAACATACTTATGCATGTATGTATGGATCATATGTATCAAATGATTTTATGTATATATTTATATATGAACCTGTATAAATATATATATGTATAATCTTGATTATAAATATATGTATATTAGAGATATTGGTAATTTAAGTGAAAGAGATATCAGGTGCAGATTACAAAGTCATGTTCTGCAATGGAATGCATCAAGGACCCAAGTAATCACAAATATCCAATTTAATGTTCTCATAATTGTGTTATTGTTTTCTACCAAAGCACTTCTTCCTGCTAAAGTACAGTTATGCATTACAATGAAAATAACAGATTTTTCTTGTTCTTCTTATTCATTCAGACCAAAATAGTATATTTGCAATTGTAATATTTAAACAAACAAAAAAAAAATAACAAAAAAAGAACAAAAAAAAAAAAAAGAAAAACTGTAAAACTAAAACCAGCAAAAACAATATCTTCCTTTTTATTATTTTATGTATTCCTCAAACTTACCCTTTCCCTTTAATTTATAGGAAACAAGAAAAGTACCATTGTAGTAGCAATTTTTAATGCTTAGCACAAGAAACGAGCTAGTTGTAGTTGGACAATGGGGGCGGTGGATTTATGATTAAAAGAAGCAAACTGGGAGGGGGTTGGGGTAATGAGTTCAATGTTGCTAATAAAGTTCTATTTTCAATACAGAAAATTGTAGCACATCCCTTTCTCCCCTCCCTTTTACCAAAAGCAAAGGGACTCAGAATTGGGAATGGCATCTTCTGTATTAGCTTTTGTACAAGTTAGTCAAAAAGATGGTGCCTCTTTCTATGCAGTGCATATTGGACACAGCTTGCCAGTTCTCTCCCTTGAATTTTTTTTTTTTTTTTTTTTAAATCCTTTTACACCTCCTTTTCCTCTTCCTCTTCGTATCAACTTAACAAACCCACCATAGAAAGTCTTGACACGCCCACAGACACACCAAACACCTCTTCTTTTTTTTTTCTGATTAGTGAAGAAGTTCTGGCTTAGAATAAAGATTCTATATAAAGGAAAAATGTTAAGAAAGTAATGGAAAAACTTGAAAATGCTACAAGGTGAAAAGAGAATGAAAAAAAAAAAAATGGGGAGAAATGAAAAGAAAGCAGTCTTGGACTGGATCCAAAACAATGACTGGATGAATGTGAAGGATCTCAAAAATTTGTAATTTCCAAAGATGTTTTGAACTGGTTATTGGCACAAGAGAAAAAGTGGTTGACCAAAGATACAACCAACAGATATGTTAACAGAAGAGAAGAAAAAGTGCAAGAAACCAAAAATATAAAAACAAAATTTTATATATATATATATATATATATATATATATATATATATATAGACACATTAATAATTTCCTAATGAAAAACTGACTTGCCAAACGAGCTTCATATTAATTATTATACATTTGCACAACACATGTTTATTGTGAATGTGGAATACATCTTTGTTTTTGTTCATTTTTGGTGTTTATCTTTTATTTTCATTTTATTTAATTCTGTTAATATAGATTCCTCTATGTGTATATATGTGTGTATGTAAGTACTTGGTTGTATGTGAATATGTATGGATTTAATATAGTTTTCTTAATGTTACTGTTAACCTGCTTTAGATGTTGTGAATTTTAATTACTGGGTATTTTAGGGTAAAAGAAAGGGGAAAATTTTCTTATTTGTGAAGATCAATATTTAAAACAATTTTTTTTTTTTTCAAATTTTCTGCCCAGTTGCTTGAATTATAACAAGCCAGTAACACATTGAAAAATCACTTGAAAAAAAAATTCTCTTAGATTCTTGTATAAGCAACAAAAAATATTTGTAACTTAAAACATGTCTGAAATAGAAGTCTTATTACTAGTTGATACAGATACCACACACACACACACACAGACAGATATATATGTATATATATATATATATATAGTTGGATTGATGTGAGTTTGTAGCCCTGGCTTTCAAACTATTTGCGATCATCAGGCGATTGACTCAGGGTCACAAACTCACATCAATCCAACTAAATATGTTAGCTCTATCACTGATATTGAGCGCTTTCCAATAAGTACCGTGCATAGATAATATATAAATCATATATATAAAACATTGCACATATACATACATACACAAATAGGTTTTATTAAATAATACCAACAAGGTCTGTCTATTGAACTTTTTATATTGTCTTTCAGATTTCAAATGGAGGTGTTTTATATGAGGATTAAAATTACTAATGGACTATTTTTTTTTTTTTTTTTAGTACTTTCAACTTTCACAGTGATTGTCAAGAGTTGTGTGTCATCACTATAGTAAACAAGTTGTATTTGACTAAATTCCAGCATTTTTAGATTGCAAGAATTGTAATTTCGAAATACATTAATATAAAATTAAAAAAAAACAAAACAACAAAGAACTTTAACATCTCAGTTAGAAATTCGAAAGGCAATATTAAAAATTTTTATTTAATAAAATTTGTTTAGATTAATTCTTACTGCCTAAATACAGCTTTTATTTATTTATTTATATAATATAATATGACTGAATACAAGATTGATATAGATGGAATAAAATTCCAGTAACCAAAAACACAAAAAAAAAGTGCTCAATACAAAGTAGAGAGTATATATATATATATATATATATAATAACAGTACATACATTTTTATATATCAAGAACAGTTTTGGAGGAAAGATGTGTGAGAAAATGGTAAAAATTTTTGTGTGACGCATTTCATCCATTTGCTAGTTCGATGAAGTCCCAAAGGGCGAAATGTGTCACATGAAAACTTTTTCCACTTTGTCACGCAGACACACGCACACATATGTGTGTTGCATGCAAAAGTTTCCAGTATCTTCTTTTTACTTAAAACCAGAGACTGATGACACGGAAAAACTATATTTTAATAAAAAGAAAATACTAAAAAATCCCAACAAAATCAATAAGAGATAAATATAAATTTTTTTATAAATTTAATATGCTTCATTATTTATTCAGCTTCATCATATATTTCTGCTGGAGTTAAAAAGTGAAACATTAAATTTATTAGAATTTTTCTACTTATCCCTTATTTAATCACATGCATGTTCTCATACACACACACACACACACACACACACACACACACACACAGAAGCTACTTTTGTGATATAAAATATTTGTATAAGCTTATGAAATGTACTGGTACTAAAATGATGTATTTCTTTCCTAGAAATGCATTTTAGATCTTTCCTCATTTAATTTTAAAATAACTATGTTACACATATTCCAAATGTTTCCAAAGATTTAAAAAAC